GTAAAAAGTCTCTAAGTAATGCCTAGACTCTCAGAGAATAGAAGTTAAAAATATTTTAAGTGGAGGTTGTCAGGTATAATACCTCTTTGTTCCTAGCCTCATTAACTTTGCCCATGAAAGTGTAGTGCTTTTAAAACACACACAAATTCTTTGACATTTCTCTCATTAAAAATACAAGTAGTCGGCCCTCCCTGGTGGTGCAGCAGGTTAAAGCACAGCACAGCACTGAGAAGCTAAAGCCACTTCCACATGAGTTCCATTCCCGCCTGACCCGGAGGTGACCACATGGCGTGGCAGACCACTCCTTACCTGCCCGCTGCTCCCCTCAGCAGTGTACTTCCTCGACCTGCCTGTTCTGCTCCCCACTCTGTCTCTGGTGGAGCCTCTTGCCCTGTCTCTGGTGAAGCCTCTCGCCACCCCAGAGCCTCTGGCCTGTACCCCAGTTCTGTATGCACAAATAAATAAATCTCTGAAAAAAAAATACAAGTAGTCTCCTTTGATAGAGCCAGCCTTAATGTCTAAATCATAATGAACTCAATGTGTTTTGAATTGATATGAAGTGACTCTCACTGTTAGTTTGGAAAAGGCATTAACATTTCCACCTGATTTCTTTCTTTGGGATGCATTCCCTAGGAATTCAGCTATTATGTTGTGAGGAACCAAAGAGTTCTACAGAAAGGCCAGAGAGGTGTTCTGGTCAAAGTACTTAACCAATACCAGCATCAGTCACAAGACATGAAAAGAAGAGAATCTTTACGTGATTCTAGTACCCAACATTCCAGTTGTCCTAGCTGGTTTCAAGAAGGAAGTGGAACAGAGACAAGCTATGTCTACCAAGTCCTGCACAAATTTCATATTTGTAAAAAGTAAAAATTGTAATTACTGCAAGCGATTAAAAAGTCTGGCAATGGTTCAACTGCCAAGTCATGGAACCAACCCAAATATTTGTCAACATGTGAATGGATAAAGAAATTCTGGAATAAATACTAAACGGAGTACTACATGGCTGTGAAAAAGATGAAATCATGGCACTTGAGAAGAAATGGATTGACTTCAAATGAAATAAATGAAATTGACCAAAATAAAAAAGCAGGTATTGATGGTTTTATTCATCTGTTGACTATAAATAGCTACAAAAACAAACATATAATCAAATTATTGTAAGAATAAATCTTGAATTCAGTGATAGACTAATGGTTGCCAGATGGAAAAACAGTGGGAAGGGAGAACGATGAGAAATCACAAGTGGTTGGGTGGAGGGTGAGTAGAACATGTGTATATGGTTGGAAATGTTAAAAAAAAGAAAAAAGAAAAAGTTGGTTATACAGCAATAGGTAACAGCAACAGACAGAAAGAACACCAAATACTGGACACCAGCTCAGAGTACAGACTGCATCCTATAAGAGAGCATCACCTCTCCCAGACACCTCTCCCAGAAGGAGTCGTTAAGATCAGTTGCTTCTTGGTGAAAGAATATACAATTAGAGTACTGAATTCTATAAGTATTAACCCACTGCAATACTTATTTCACTCGAATGAGTTTCTTGATCAAAGCGCTGTGGTATTAGATACAAATAGTGTATAAAGCATAAAGTCCCCAGATAGTATGCTGACAGAACATAGGAAGCAGAGAAAGTAAACCTAAAACTAGAGGAAGTGTATTTCAGAGAGGATAAATAACTATTCCCTAAATGATTGGGAAAATTCAATGGAGTCAACTTACCTCCTAGTGACTGGATGATCTTCTTGGAGCACAGGTATTATCAGCAACTCAGGATTAGCCACTGCTGGTGGCCACCTAAACACTTGGTAGTCTTGGTGATTCCATACATAACTCCAATCCTGCTATTGCCATTTTGTTCATGATTCCACTGAGCAAACACGAGCATGAAGGCTCATTTCATCCAGAGAGCTCATTTTATCTATATGATTCTTAAAAGTCATTCTACAACATTCATCCCTTTCCATGTGTTCCTTGTCACTAATTCTCCAATCATACTCTTTTCATGTCCTTAATCCACTGTACATACAACCTTGGACAATGAGTCCTGACCATGAATTTTCACCCAAGGCTATCACTTTCAGGCAACATGAAACTTAAGGCATACAGCTGGAACTTCTGCTCACTGAAAGAACTTCTGCCCATTGAAAGAATTTCACAACTTCTATGTTCTTCAAGTCCAAAGTGGAACTACAACTCCATAATCCATTTCTGGCTGGCATCAGCATATTGTTCAGATCAATAGTTTGCATAGTACCCTTTCACATCATGGGCATGCAATAGACATTGTTGAATAATTTCTTTCTTCTTCTTCTTCTTTTTTTAATGCAGACAGTGTCTCTCCTCTGCTTAAATCTCTTCAATAGCTTTCCATTGATCTAAAATATCCTGCTGAATGTGTCATCTGCATACTTCTTCCCCTTGTTGTCTGTACATTTAGGAATTTTGTTGTGGTCCTCAATTCCTGGCATGTTCCATGCCCTCTCCATCCATAAGATCTTTACTCAAACTGTTTCATTTCCTTGCCTTGTTAACTGCTTCTTTCAGATATTGATTCCTGTCTCATTACCATCTTTCTTCACTATATTGATCTCCATATTCATTTGTGTGTTTAATTAACTTCTGGGGCTCTAGGTTCTATAACTATTTGCACTCACCACTGGGTCCCCAGCACCTAATACAGTGTTTGGTACTTAGTAATTGTTAAATAGTATTTTGTTGTAGTGTATGAATACCTGAATGAATGGCTGTGTCTGCAACAAAATGCAGTGTAATTTATCTACAAAGTATCATTGCCAGTTTTACATAAGAAATTCTCTGCATTCAGTTTCTACTCCTCTAATTCACATTTTTTTAAATTTTGTTAAAAAAAAAGAATTGGCTAGATAATAATTTTTCAAAGCATTAATTCCACACTAACACTATACAAAAGAAATATGCAAACCATGTATATAACTTTAATACACTACTAACCACATTATAAAAAGTACAAAGAAATTAACCTTAATAGTAATTATTAAAACCTTCAGTTTTATATAACTGAATAAATCTAAAACATTATCATTCTAATGTATAATCGATATAAAAATTATTGAGATGTTACATTCTTTTCCTCACACTGCCTTCAAATTTTTGTTAAGCATTTTACAGTTATATCGTACCTCAACTTGAAGCAGCTATAGTTTTAGGTGTTAACTGATACAACACGGCCAGTAGAATCTGTATGGGACAGGGCAATTCTTTAAGAATTTTCTGTAAGAGTCTTTCTGTAAGAAATGGCACAGGCCCTCCCTGGTGGCACACCGGGTTAAAGCACAGCACTGAGAATCTGAAGCCACTTCCGCATGAGTTCGATTCCCGCCTGCCGCCTGCCCCGGAGGAGACCACATGGCGAGCCAGACCTCTCCTGACCCGCCCGCTGCTCCCCTCAGCAGTGTACTTCGTCAATCTGCCTGTTCTGCTCCCCACTCTGTCTCTGGTGAAGCCTCTCACCGTCCCTGAGCCTCTGGCCTGTACCCCAGTTCTGTATGCATAAATAAATAAATCTTTAAAAAAAAAAAAGGCACATATTTTAAAAATCTAGCAACAACAAATGTTGGTGAGGATGTGGAGAAAAAGGAACTCTCCTACACAGCTGGTGGGGATGCAAACTGGTCCAGCCACTATGGAAAGTTATGTGGAGGTTCCTCAAACTACTAAAAATGGACCTATCATATGACCCAGCAATTCCATTCCTAGGAAATCTACCAAAGAACAGAAAAATGTTAATTCAAAAGGATTCCTATGGTTATCACAGCACTATTTATAATAGGTAAAGCTGGAAACAACCCAAATGCCCAGAAATAGATGACTGGACCAAGATGTGGTATACATACACGATGGAATACTATTCACTAATCAAAAAGATAAGTTCATGCCATTTAAAGCAACATAGATGGAGCTAGAAGGGACTATCCTCAATGAACTGTCAGAAAGAAAATTAAAAACATAGCACAGTTTCAATTATAGCAGGGATATAAAGGGAACCAAATAAGGAGGAGGGCGGAATAACAACAACAACCAAAATTAACAGGCAACTACAAATCAGAGATGTTCTTCAGGGGGGGAGGAGGAATCCAGATCAAATCAGGGGAGGAAAGAGAACAAGGAGAGTGGCGATGGTGCACCCCTGACCTGGTGGTGGGAATTTCATGGAGATCAGGTGTGGTTCTACCTCACCTGAGAGAAAAAAAGCAAACACTGGACAAAAGCGAACAATGATGTAAACTATGAATAAATATTATAAAGAGAATCTTTCTATAAGAAAGAATCTGACCATCCTCAGCACCTATAGTATCAAGAAGGCAACTGCTAGTCAAGCTTTCATCCAGAAGGCTCTCAGCGTCTCAGTATGAGATGAGTTAAACCACATACTGCAGTGAGAACTAATTCCTTTGGGATTTGGAACATACAAAGTTGCCTCTGGGAACAATTTTTCTGTGTGTACTTTTACCTTCCTATAAAGTCTTTCTCTCTAAAATGGATACCTTGCTCCTCCTGAAGATATGGGATATCACTTGCCAGACATTTGTGTCCTCCTTTGAAGTCGGCTTATAATGCTCTGTATTTTTAGGTACTTCAATCTGTCCGTTTTTTAACTGCCCAGGAAAGCAAGGGTTGTGGGATCTGTTCAGTAGCTATGCCCAGCATTATTTATGCTTTCCAGCGCGTTCCTTACACCTGGGCCTCCATAGCAGGACAGCAGAACAGTGGGGTTTATGGACCTGCAGCTGGATTCAGATTGCTTCCTTTTCCTAGAAAGTGGTTCTCTCTCCGCCAGCATTACATGAACACACGGTTTTGTTTTCCGGTGGTTCTACCTCACCACAGGACATCTAGTCACCAAGTTGCACACGAGCGAGCACCTGCCCTTAAACCCGCCACCAGGGCTCCGGGAAGTGAGAAAAGGCGGGACATCCGCCTGGTCCGAGCCGCTTCCGGAAATGACGTAGGAGTGTCAACATGCAAGATGGCGGCCCATCACCGGCAGAACACGGCAGGGCGGAGGAAAGTACAGGTATGGGAGCCTGACTCGTCGACCTCTCGGACGCGGCCGGCGATCCCGGGCCCTCCTCCAGCGAGCAGATGCCTCGGGCCGCGCTCGGCCCGGGTAGCGGCTTCGGTCGAGCGGGACAGATCACGACCGGCAGCAAGGGGTGGGGCCGCGGCTCTAACGGCTAGAGGAAGGGGGGGGGGTGGGGTGGGGGGCGGCCGATTAGGCCCTCTGGGGCCCAGTCCGGGGTTCCTCGGGTGCAAGTTTGGAGCTGGAGGTTGCGGCCTGCCCTCTCTCTAGTAGGCTTGGTTTTGCGGGATCGGGATGGGCTAGATCCCCGCCCACCTGCCTCGCTCTTGCCTTTCTCTAAAGCGCTCTGCCCTAGCCGCGTCAGAGCGGAGGCCTCCCCGCTTCCCCTGCGTGCGGGCGCGCGGCGGCGGTGAGAGTGGGCCTCTGCGGGGGCGTGGCGGGGTTGCTGAGCGATGACTTCCCTGCGGGGTTTCTGCGGAGCATTCTGCACGTGGGAGCCCCGGTTGGCTTTTAAGCGGGAGCTTTCTGCCGCCTGAGGTGGAAACGACGTGGGAGTGTACTGGTGTTAGTAGGAAAATTATAATTCCTAGTCATTTGGAATTGAACTCCCTTTTCTCCATTTCTGCATTTTCAAAGGTGCAACCTTGAATCTTTAGCGTTTCTATAGCCTATTATCCTAGGATAAAGAGGTACCTATTTAACCTTTCCATATGTGCGTTCTGGCTTCTTGAATCCACTTTTGTATGGGGTACGTTTAAGAGTTATTGCTATCTATCTTCAGTGATGCTGGGAGTAAAGGCTCTCTTAACAAGTGATTGCGGGTACACTTTGCATAGTAATGACGATATGGTGCACTACTAATTTATTGAACAGTCACCGAACATGAGATTGGGCCCCCAAATGTGCAAAGAATTGGAAGTCTAAGTAACACCCAGATTTTCTTTATAAAATACAGCATTACATGTAGTTCGACAGGTTGAAATCAGTGATTGTCTAAAGATAGTCTGGACAAAGATTGCTTTTGCTTCAGTAAGGGAAGTCCCAGCAAAAGGCTGTAAACCAGAAAGTTTTCTGGGCCATTCATTTTATTTTATTGATTTCGTTGATAAGTACAGAGTACTGAACTCTCACTATATATTTGTCAAATCTAGTGAAATTGACAAAAGTAAAATAGTTTGCCCTGCTAGGTGATTTTAAATGCTTTGTGTGAGGGGATTTAGGTAATCCCAACATCCAAGCCAGTGGTGAGAATGTCTGCGCCTGGCTAAAATATATTACAAAACTATAACTTCATTGTATTCTTGACTTCAGAGTGCTACAGTCCTTACTGTAGTAGAGATAGCTAATCCAACCTCTCAACTACTTGTATTTAGACTTAAAATTACAAAATGAGGAATAATATGTACATTAAATTAACTGCATTGTGTGGAAAAACTTGTAATAAACTAAATACAAACCACCTTATGTGAGAGAAAGGATAATTACACTCTCCATTGATAGTTACATGCTCCATTGAACCCCTTTCCATTGAACTCTCATTGGTCAGAATGCAATACTAAGGCCCTGGGATTTAGCCCTTAACCCTTTACTCTAGTAGGAATAACATTCCCATAATTTGATAGGTGAAGTGGCTTGAGCAGTGTCCTATGAAAAGCATTCAAAAGATAAGCCTACTGAAGGGATGATTCTGTAAAAGTGTTTGGCATGTGTGTTTTTTTAACGGGTGCAGGTTCTTTGCAAAAAAAAAAAATCAAACCCTAAAAAATACAAAAGTAAAAGTGATTTGTTTTCAAAGAAGACTACTGTGCACAGTGTGATATCTAATCCTAGGGTAGGGTTTATCTTCCTTCCGTTTTTTAAAAAATTGAGTATAAGTCGGTTTACATCATCATATTTGTTTAAGGATTATAGACTGAAACCTCTACAAATTTGTGTTTCTACACCATGTCTGCCACCAAAGCCCCAGTAGTCTCCACCATGCTCCACTGAACTCCTTTCCTCCGTTTTGCCTCCTTCCTTTCTGGTTGCTTCAGTTTTACAGTCAGATGTCAAGGACTTAGGACTTTGGTTTTGTCGAACCCCTGGTTTTGTTTCTCTGTATTCCACATATAAATTATACTGTCCGTAATTTTTCTTTCTCCTTCTGACTTATTCACATAACATTATGGTCTCCAGTCCATCCATGTTTTCACAAATGGCAAGAGTTGATCTTGCTATTTTTTATAACTAACTAGTATTCCATCGTGTGTATATAACACATTTTTCTGATCCACTCATCCATCCTTGGACACTTAGGTTGTTTTCATAACTTGGCTGTTGTAACTATTCAATGAAGACTATCGTGGACATGTGATATATAATTCTCTGTGAGGGTTTTCTAACCTGTGCACTGTTGACATCTTGGGTTGGATAATTGTGAGGGGAAGGGAAAACAGGGAAGTGCTGTTCTGTGCATTATAAGTTGTTTAGTTTCATTTGTGGGTCTTCTACCCATTGGATGTTAGCACCTTCCCAGTTGTGACAGCCCAAAGTGCCTTTCCTGTAGGGCAAAGTTGCCATTGGTTGAAACAGTTCTGTACCTTTTTGTGCATGTGTATATGATTTTTTTTAATTGTATGGTATCATAGTCAATTTTGTGTCTTACTATTTATCAAAATTTTAATATATATTCCTGTTGGTCCAGTTCACATCTTGTGATAGATAATCAGAAAGATACTTAGACAAGCAAGTGTGAATTTAGATGTATATAATGCATTTCCCAAGGTATCACAGCAAATTCTTCCACTCCTTTCTGATCCCTCAGTGTGGTGATGATTTTCCAGGAATATCAGTCTATTGCTTGACTCTATCTTTCCTTCAGTTATGGCCATTTCCTTCGTTTGCTTCAGAATTCTTGGGGAAAGTTTGGGCAAAAGTTATTGTTGTTCCATGGTTAGTAGTTACAATCATGCCCTACCATTCAGTAGTTAAAGAATATAAATACTTGACTTTCCACAAGAGAAGAGTTCTTTTGGTTGGAAATGACCCAAAATCCAGCTTAACCCAGGTTTACATAATGAAAAGACATATTAGTTCACATAAATGAAAACTCAAAGAGGTAGTGCTAGTTTCATGAAAATCTTGAAACAACAGGCTCACTTTGACTCTACCCTAAGAAGTGTAAAAAAAAGCTTTACCTTTAGGCTGCCTACAGTTGTACGTGCTGTTCCCAGATCCAGGTGTTCCCTCTTTAGGGAACGCGACTGTACTGTCCCAGACCTCATGTCTTTTTTTTTTTTTTTCCAAACCTCATAACACTATCCAGGGTAGTAGTCTCTTAAGTAGCCCTGCAGTTTCTCCTACTGCTTGCTTATTTTGAGAAAAAATATGGAGAGTAGAAGTGGGGAGTGGCCACCAACAAATGACCCTCCTGTTTCCTGCCAAATAGCTAGAAATTCGAGACCTATTTAGAGTTCAGTATATTCTTCCCTGTGATTCTGAGTGTCAGTTCTGGGTTGCTTGGTTAACCTTTGAGGCTTTTTACAGAAATTAGAATGATGCCAAATCTTGGCTTTTTAAGAGCAACAAAAGATCTTTTAACAAATTTAATGTCAAAGGTGACTTTTAAGTATAGACTCCATAATAAAAAAAAAAATTAGCACCAGTGTGACAGCTGTTAAAACAGGAGTTGACATATTTTCTAGATAGTAAATATTTTAGGCTTTTCAGGTCATTCTGTGTCATAACCACTGAGCTCTGCCGTTACAATGTGAAACCAGCCACTGGCAATACCTAAATGAATAGGTGTGATCCTGTTCCAATAAAACTATTTACAAAAACAGGTCCTGTGGGGCTGGGTTTGCCCCACTGGAGGTTTGGGTTTTTTTTTTTTTTTTTTAAGCCCCTGTTTAGGAAAGAGTGAGGCTAGATGTGCCCTTTTTTCATTTATAAACACTTTTTAGAATACTTAAAATCAACACTCTTGAAATAACATATCAAAAAGTCATGTTCCACAAAATTCAACAGAAAAAACAGATATGCAAATTTGTGGTAGTTAGCCAGGTTTTTTTTGTCCAAAGTTAGCCTTATTTAGCCTTACACACACACATGATTCCACCTGTAGAAATTTATGAAACTGGCAAAATAAATCTGTAATTTAAAGTTACAGTTGCTAGAGAAACTAAGCAACTAAACAGGTCAGATCTAGATTGCCTGAGGGTGGTCTGTAGGGATTGAGAAGAGAATGAAGAAAATCTAGATTAGTGACAAATGCCCTGTATATCTTGGTAGAATTTTGTTTTATGCAGTTATATTCATTTTTAAACATGTGCATTTCACTCCATGTAAATTTTATCTTGAACAGTAACTCTGGTGATATACATGCTGAAGTATTTGGGTGGGAGCATGGTTGATGTACAACTTGTTTTGAAAGACATAGAAAATAAGGTCTTAATTTCATAATTAAGGTTACATCCCTTAAGAAGGAAGTATATTAGCCCCGGGGATCCAATATGATCATACAGATCTCTAGAAACAAAACTTTGTGTAGCTGGTGGCAGAAGTCAGATTTAAAGTATAAGAGGATTCCTTCATTGCAGGAGAGGACTGCAGAAAGTTTGAGAAGGGATGTAGCTGTTAAGCCATTAGCAAACAAGGAAATAGGGCACTCTGCCCTACAATCATTAGAAGCTGAATTCTGCACCCAACCAACTTGGAAGCAGACTCTCCCAGAGCCTCCTGAGTAATTCTCACTGAGTAAGCCTCCAGTGAGACCCTAAACAGATGGTCCATCCTTGCTCCACTGGATGTCTGACCTTAACTAACTGTGAAATAAGAAATGGGATGGGCTTTAAGTCACTAAATTTGGGGTAATTTATTATGGCAACAATAGAGAGATAATCTGATTATCTCTTGAAATAGTGGTAATTAAAGATAAGTTTCTCTCTTTACTGCTTTTAGTCTCTGACACATCACCAATAACTCTAGCAGCATTTCAACCTGAAAGGCAAATATCACTTGAAGTTTTGAGTCCCAGGTAGTTGCTAGAGAAACTAAGTAAACAATGCTTCCTGTGCTACAAATACTAACAATGTAACTTAAATACCTGCTACTTTCTCCTTGTCAAAGTTCTTTTAGTTGGTGTGTTCTTCCAAAAAGAACACACCTCTGCAAGTCTTTTTTCTCATCCCTTGCACAGCTCCTATAATACCCTCTTCACCTCTTTTAAAAAGGCACCTAATGATCATCAAATATGAATTCTCGACTTCCCTGCCTTTGCTGTTCTCTCAGCTTGTCTAATTGAAATTTTTCCAGGATTTTGTTCACTCGTTTGTTGATTTTATATCTAACACCTTTTGCTTTTTTTTTTTTTTTTTTAACTTCATCTCTTCTGCCTGCAAAGCTTGTCTTTATCTTAGGGGGAACCTTCATTTGCTGTCACTTCTAGTTATACTCTTCCCCCATTAGAATGAAATCTTCAGGAGGATTGTTGTGCTCACTAATGTATCAGCATTTAGAATGAAGTCTGACAACTGTAATCAGTATTTGTTAGAAGAATTAAATCCTGTGGAGGGCCTCCCTGGTGATGCAAGAGGTTAAGCCTCAGCACTATGAAGCTATCAGCAGCCACTGTGTACAAATTCAATCCCTACCCAGGGAGCTGACCCACATGGTGCAGCAGACCACTCCTGACTTGCCCACTGCTACCGTCAGTACTGTGTTTGTTATGCTCCCCATTCTGTCTCTGATGAACCCTCTGGCCTATACCCCAGCTCTTGTTTGCATAAATAAATGAACTTTAAAAAAAAAAGAATTAAATCCAGATTTCTTTATATCTTTTATTCAGCCAATTTTTTTTTCTAGATTTATTTATTTATTCATACAGAACTGGGGTACAGGCCAGAGGTGCGGAGGGTGAGAGGATTCACCAGAGACAGAGTGGGGAGCAGAACAGGCAGATCAACGAAGTACACTGCTGAGGGGAGCAGCGGGCGGGTCAGGAGAGGTCTGCCGCGCCATGTGGTCACCTCCAGGGCAGGCGGGGATCGAACTCATGGGGAAGTGGCTTGAGATTCTTAGTGCTGCGCTTTAACCCACTGCGCCACCAGGGAGGGCCTTATTCAGCCAATTTTTTAAAGATTTATTTATGCATACAGAACTGGGGGTACAGATCAGAGGTGTGGGGGATGTTAGAATTCACCAGAGACAGAGCAGGGAGCCGAACAGACAGATCGACAAAGTACACTGGTAGGGAGAGCAGCCGGTGGGTCAGGAGAGGTCTGCCTCCCTTGCGGGGGATTGAACTTGTGCTGCAGTGTCAGTTATAGCTTCATAGTGCTGTGCTTTAACCTGTTGTGCCACTAGGGGCGCTCCCTTAGCAAGTTTTTAACATGTCTTGGAACATATCACTGGATATAGTTACTTCATTCTTTAATGACCACTTAGAATGTATGTACCGAAATAATAACAGTTATAAAATAGTAAAGGAAGTCTTATAAAATTAAACCATGGGACAGTGATAGAATAGGTAAAAGATGATGGATAAGTTTGAACATTCCAACAGCTGACTGATGAGAGTTTAGAAGGAACAAAGAAAACAGATGGTTATTAATGGGTTGATATAAGAAAACTTAGCAGAACTGCTAAAACATAGCAAGCTTCTTAATTTAAAGGGCATTTCTAAAAATTGAATTTAAAAAGTCAAAGAAACGTAACCCCAAGGGGGTTTTTTAAGTAGAGGGAAATGAGACGACAGTGGAGTGGGTGATGGTGCAGAGAAGTATGAAAATGAGTTAGTTCACTTTAATATGTAATAAGACAGAGTAGCATTGAATTCAATGACAACACTGGATGCCAATGGAAGAGCAGTGGTGCACAGTCTGTATGCTGCATAGTCTCTGTGAAAGGAAATATGTAACGAGAGACAGGCCCAGAAATTCAGAGACTGATGTTGGCACTGAAGCCAGCTTGTTCCTGGGGGCTTTTCAATGTCTCATTTGTGCAACAAATACTTATTAAATGTCTTATATGCCTGGCATTATAACGAAAATAGAGTGGTAGGAACAAGGCAGACTGTTCCTTGCCCTCTTTCAGCTCTAACTGTGATGGAGAAGAGGTAGTAACAACAGAGAGAAATATGGCACATGGTAGGAACTGTGAAACAAATTTGTAGGGTAAGTAAGTGTTAGAGTAAATGACCTGAAGGATGAGATGAACCACACAAGATAAAATCTGTGGAAAGACTATTCCTCTGGAGGATGGAGTGGTGGAGAATCTTCTTGAAACAGGGAGTTGTAAATTTGAAAGGCCCTTAGTGGGAAGAGTTTGATGTGTTTGAGGAACCAAAAGGAGTCTGGTGTGAATGTCTTCAAAGAAACTGGGACGTTAACTTGAGGTTAGTGTGAGGTTATAGGATAGAGCCAAAGTGCAAGGACTTTAGACTTTAAATGCAGTGAAAAACCTCATGAAGGTTTCAGCAAAGAAGTATATGCTTTTATTTTAAAATTTTCTGTTATGAATCATGACTGTATTTCCTGCCCTTAGGCATTGTTAGACACTCTTAGGTCCTTATGTTAATTTTTTTAAGTTTAATTTAAAACTGATTTGAGTCCTTTTCTGTTACAGTTGCTTGCAACTTAAAGACTAGGTTAAGACAACATCTTTGTTATCTGTGCCAGTCATTTTATTTTTAAGAGTCTTCCTTTTTGGAATCTTTGTTCTTTCTGTTGGTGAGTTTGACATGTTCTTATTATTTTGCAAAGCAATCTCTGTTGTCAAGACAGACTTTTCTTATTCATTTTATTTCATTAGCTTTCCATTTAGAATTTGTCTTTTGACCTTGTTGGTGTTATTTTTGACAACCAGTTTTTTTCCGGTGATATCTTTATTGAGATAAGATTCACAATTCAGTGATGTTTAGCATATTCACGAAGTTATGTGCTGATCGCCTAATTCCAAGACATTCTTGTGACCCCAGAAAGAATCCCTGTGCCCATTAGTAGTGACTCCTTTCTCCTCTCCAAAGCCTTGCCAGCTGTCAATCTACTTTCTGCCCTGTGGATTTACATATTCTGAACATTCCATATAAACAGAATCATAAAACCTGTGGCCTTTTGTAGCTGTCCTCTCAATTAGCATACTGTTTTTAAGATCCACCATGCTGTAGCATCCCTAGACTGCATCACCATATTCCATTGTGTGGTGTACCGCATTTCCCTTATCCTTTTGCCTGCTGATGAGCATTGATGTTTCTACTTTTTGGCTATTGTGAATAATGCTGCTATAAACATTTGTGTACGTGTATGAAAGGTTTGACACATCAGTGTGTCTTTTCCTTTGCAGTTTGCTCGTTTGTTAAGTTAGCAGAATCGTCTCTGTGCAGAGATTTGTATGTTCTCACCGTGTATTTATTATTTAATTATTAAATTTTAACCTTCATCCAAAAATTAATTTTGTTTGAAGATGGAGAAAGAATATACTTTTTTCCTATAGGACCTCTAGATACTCCTTGATAATTTATTGAATAACTTAGTAATCCCCTTCATTGACTTGAAACGCTTTATAGCAAACAATATTTGTAACAGTAAAATGCTTCTGAATTTTGTTTTATTTGAGTGATCTTTTTATATATTTCCATGGTAGTACTCCTTTGTAATTCTGATAACTTTATGATACCTGTAAGTATAATATACCTTTAAGATCTTTTAAAAATATCCTTCCAGCTAGCTAAATCTTAAAAACGACTGGGTATTCCCAAAAAAATTATTTGTTTTGTCAATTTTTAGTCTAGGAAGAAATCCAGAGGGATTCTGACTTAGGAAAGAATTGTTAATTTTGAATCTGCCTATGTACAGTATGTCTCCCTCATTTAGGTTTTTCCATTATGTAGTATATTCTGTGGATTCCATGTTCTCCTTGCAGATTGGATCTCTAAGTATTTATTGATTCTTTGTTTCTGTTGCATTTGGGTTCCCTCAAACTCATTATATTCTTAACAGGTTACTTCATTGGATTTGAAAATTGACTTCCCACCAGCTTGTTGACTTTTTCTTAAATGTGAATGCTTTTGTTTGAGTACGGGGTGTTCACACAGAGCAGACTGAGTAACGGTAACAGCAGGGCGAAGTGCTCCGAAGCTGAGTGCTGCTATAGGAACTCAAAAACCTCGTTTTGGTTGTCAGGTCAGGGGAGGCTTTTGAGAAAGCATTATTTAACAAAATCTAAAAAGTGCCAGTAGGAATTAGCCAGACAGAGTGGGAGGAAAAGCCTCCAAACAGAGGGAACCCGTGTGTGTGAAGTCTGGAGGTACAGTGTGTACAAAGAACAAGAGCAAAGGGAACAACGTGAGTGGCAGGATAGGTGCGCAAGGCATGTCTACCTAGTAGAGAAAGCAAAAGAGGTATGTGAGCAGAAGTGTGCCACATTCCAGTTCACATTTAAAAAAAAAAGCTCCAGCTGCTTTATCATTCCTCTCTGAAAAATAGGTTTTATATTGGAAGACATGAGTTTTGAATTCATATTGACCACTAGTATGTTACATTTTGTTATTGCATGTTTGTAACTTCCTGAAAGGTACATCTCAACATTTTGTCAGGTTTCCTATGTTATTCGAGATGAAGTGGAGAAGTACAATCGAAATGGAGTCAATGCCCTGCAGCTGGATCCAGCACTCAATAGACTTTTCACAGCCGGTCGGGACTCCATCATAAGAATATGGAGTGTCAATCAGCACAAGGTAAGGCATGGAGGGAGTTTGCCTTTTAAATCTACACTTAGTAAATTTTGGACTCAGCTTTCATAGTATCAAATTTAATGTCTTTAAGCATTGAGTTATTTGGTACACTCTATAAGCACTGTAACTAGAATTCTGTAATCTTTAAGAAAAATAGCCAGGGAAGCTTCAGAAGTGATTTTAGCTCAGACAGAGATTCCAGGTCTATGATAAAAACTTTCTGCTATAGAGGAACATCTAATTGGGTTAATGGGAGGATTACATGCAACAACTATTTTTCCTGTTTTATATGTTCCCAAAAAACTTTCTTGGCAACCCTTTTCAGTGCTACTGAAGAGAAGGTTGAAAATGTTTTTACATTCATAATTCATCTTGAACAAATATTTTATTTCTTCATTTAAAAGTGATTCAGGTGCCCACAAAGCCTATAGGTCCTGATAGGACAATATTAAAGTTGTTATAAAAGTAAGAAGACTAAGAAGACTACATGCTGTCCTTATTCCAGATAGCTAAAAATTCTTCTCTTTCTTCCTTTCTGAAACAGGGAACAGTATTTAAATACATGTAAAGATAAATCCCCTAATAGAATGACACTCTTTTTGTATTTGTTTAAATGCCTGTACTTTGAATGAGAAAAGAAGATTCTGGGAGGAAACAGGAGCATTTATTAAGTTGTTAACTATGTACCAGACACTCTTGGAACTATAACACCTAATATGAATTTTAATTCTTACAGTAGTTCTATGTGGCTATTATGATCCATTTTCATAGAAGGGAAAACAGGCTCAGAGAAGTCCATGGTAAAATAACTAGTAAGTAGCAAATATAATGTCAGCCCAAACCCCTGATTCTAGACCTTGTGTTTTTAAAAGTCTGTATCTTTCTAATAAGCTCTTTGAATATAATGTTTAAGCCACAAGAAAAAGCTACTACTTTGCATAGTTGCTGGATAGATAATATTTCTATAAATGGATGTTAAGCCAGTGAGTTTTGAACTTTATAACCAGTGGAAACAGTGGTAACCCCATGTCAGAACATGAAAAGCAAAAAAAAAAAAATTGACTTTAAAATGCTTTTTAGAACTTACATTTGAATTGGGATGTCACCATTTTGGGAATCCTCCTTATTTCAAACAAGATAAACCACTCATAAGAATTAAACTTATGCCCTCTTTATTCTGAGCTTCATTTTATAAAAAAATTGAATAGCATCATTTCTCAGACAGTCTTGTAGAGTGTCTAGAAGTGCCTTGAATTTGCTTGTTTTAGGTGTAGAATGTAATTAATACTGTTCTTTAAGAGGCCTCTCCTGGTAATTAAGTCAGTGGAAAGGAATAGAAGAATCTTGAGTTACTGAATTGAAGAGGTGATATGAGTAGCACTCCTTGCCTTGGCTCCCGTTTCTTCTCGGAAGGACTATAGATGTCATGAGGAAAACCTTTAGTTCAGAAGGTAAAAACAGCATGGGGAGGCTAAAAGGAAAAGTGTTTATCTGCCTTGCAGGCATCCTGCTCTTTACCTTACTCACTAGCCTCATTTCCTGTTGGCTACAGTGACCCTTCACCTCTACTGATTCAAAAGCCTGCAGATTTGTTCATGTCCCTTCTTTTAGCACTTTGTGTCACATATAGTGCCTAGCCTAGATCTTGCTGCCATCTCCACTACAAGCATAAAAATTAAGCATTTGTCCTAGAAACCTATTGTTTCATTAGTAATAATACTGTCCTGAAACAAAACTTCTGTTTTGCATTTGTTGTCTGAAAGCACAAGTGTTTGATGAAATTCTAGTTTGAATTCAGTTGTCAATTTTAAGACCTTAAAGCAGTATCACATTAATTGAATAATATAAACACCTATAATTGTATTACAGTTCATCCTCTACTGTAAACTAATGGCATTCTTTTTAATTTCAGCAAGATCCATACATAGCTTCTATGGAACACCATACCGATTGGGTAAATGACATCGTACTCTGTTGTAATGGGAAGACATGTAAGTATTTCTTTGGCTTATTGGACATCTGGAAATTTTTAATTCATGTAAAATGTTTTATGACATTTTCGTGCATACAAAAAAGTATGCATACCATGAGAGTGCAGCTCAAAAAATTTTACATAACACTCATCAAAGAACAGATTACCAGAAGCCCCCTTGGGCTTTGTCTCTATCCCTGATCCCAAGCACTGTTGCAAACACTGACTTCCAAACACTGTTGACTAATGTTGAATTCATTTGAACTGTATGTAAATAGACTCATGCAATATATGTTCTTCTTTTAGCCTTACTAAGATTTATTCTTATAATAAGATCGATCCACTTCTTAATTTTGTGTATATTAGATAATTCTTCTCAGGCAAATTAATTGTATTTTTGACTGCAACACTGAAGTTTGCCCTGCCTCTTCAAAAAATATTTCAGACAAAATACATTGGTTCTGGAATGTATATTGGGGTATGTGTTTATGAATGAACAATTAACAGATATTTGAAATAATGTTAGGAATATTATAAATATTCATATGTATATCATATATGTGTGTGTGTGTGTGAATATATATGAACATAAATCTGAATCATTGCTACATTGTTTTAAGATAAGCCTTTAAAACAGTGCTAAATCATCCTTCTAAGGGGTTTGTTAATTCTTTTCCTCTTCTAGTAATTTCTGCTTCTTCTGACACAACAGTAAAAGTATGGAATGCACATAAGGGATTTTGCATGTCAACATTAAGGACACATAAGGTAAAGTAAACATAAACATAATTCTCATTGTATTTAATATTAGGACTAGGAGTTTTATATGGCTCACTTTCTTATTGATCTATAGAGTAGGTTATAGTGTATGTGTTTTTGTTACAGGATTATGTAAAGGCCTTAGCCTACGCCAAGGATAAAGAACTGGTAGCATCAGCTGGGCTGGACAGACAAATATTCCTTTGGGATGTGAATACTCTTACAGCATTGACTGCCTCGAATAACACTGTCACAAGTAAGGTGTTTGCAAAAATTTTTTGAAAGTGATCTAAGATGACATACATGAAGAATGGTTTACGAGACATCTTTGATAGATTTGCATCAAGATAGTGGTTCACACATGGGGAGTTCCACCCACAGGGTTCTATAGCTAATTCCCACTGCAGTCTAAAGATAGTAATCTCTCCAGGTACAGCCTGGTTGTTTTTGTACATCCCTAGCTAACATATAAATTCCTGCAGGACAGAGGAGTCTGTCTTACTATTGCTTTGAATCTCCCATAGCATTGCTTGGCTCCAAATCACACACTCAACAGATTTTATTGATGGAGGTGATGACTGCCTGACAGTGTTTGATTTTTAAAAGTGTCACTAAATACTAAGAGATTTTGAGTTAATGGCCAAGATGGAAAATAGCCAAAGGAAAGAAAGAAAATATTCTTGGTGCCTATTTTGTAAGACACTTTGAGAGTACCCCTAAGGAATCCAGTGAATTCCAGAAGAGTACAGGGAGATTATAGGGTGCTTTTAGAAGCAATTCAGAGACTTTCACAGCAAATTTATAGATGGATGCCTCCACAACTAAGAGGTTTCCTATTACCAGGTCAGACCCATAGAAGTCTAGACTGGAAGCAGCCTCATCTGTGGCTATCATACTACAGTGGTTAGGCCAGGTGTCAGAAAGACTCCGAGAAACTCATTTTGCCTAAGGCTGGCCAGGGAGATCTTGGCTCAGGACGTGGGCCTGAACATTTAGATTCCCTACCACGTAATGCCAGTTTGCTCAGGGGTGCTAGTTAGTCTTATTTCTATAATCATAAACTTGCATGATATTCTCTCTCAACAATTCTAAGCAAGATATATTGGTTGTAGAATCTGTACCACTAAAAAAGTCAAGGAGAGCAAGGCAAGAAGTGTTTAGACCTCAAATATTTCCTGGAAAAGGGGGGAAGATACAGTTTTTTTAAATTATCACACAGTTCATCATAGCTTCTTGGCATACACAAAGTTACATTAGAATTGTTATGTATTGTTACATTTATATCATTGTTACATTTATGTAATTATAGATTATGCAAAATTATAATTTTATAATTGTTATATTTAGCTATGTCAATGTGATTATGCCTTAGACATGTGAAATTGGGCATATTTTTCATTTTTATTGGCACGTATATATCTTTGAATATCTTTGTAAATTAGAATCATACTATAGGAATAGTTTTATGTGCAGCTCTTTTTACTTCAATAATAGACTTAATAGTCAAAGGCCATGACCATGATTCTTGCTACACATTGCTTAATTTCCTTCCAGAAGTAATGTATGAGATTCACAAATGAGAGTGTCATTTTACTATATTCTTTTCAGAAGTATTACCTTGGGTTTTATCTGATGTGGTAGGTGAAAATAGTATTTTTGTTTCCTTGAATAATAGTGAGCTTGGCCATATTTTTCTTTTTTTTTTTTTTTGGCACATGTATATCTTTGAATATTTTGCTTTTATGGCTAGCTTGTAAATGGCAGTGCATTTTGGTTTAGCTGGTATACTTGTTTATGTTTAAATCCAGAAACAGTGTAAATTTTGGTAACATTATTTTTGTTTAGAATTATCTCCATGATCAGTAGATATTTTTCTAAAGCAGTAAAGATGAGATTTTTGTCAACCAAATAATTAAAAGTGCAACTTTTGCTGATAACTAAACAGCTGATGATTTTGTTAACATCTATCCTCATTAATCTTTTAATAGCTTCTTCTTTAAGTGGGAACAAAGATTCTATATATAGCCTGGCAATGAATCAACTGGGAACAATCATTGTATCAGGGTCCACTGAGAAGGTAAGGGGAAACTTAAAAATGTGTATTTCACACTAGAAAATAAAGAAACTAAAATAATTTGATCTCTGCAGTAACTAAATATACAATTTGATCTGTGTAGTTACTAAATACATCAACAGTGGTTGTGCTTGGTAAGTGCCAAAAGATTTTATTTGAACAAATAAGAGCACAGCTATGCAGTTAACGTTCATCTGTGGTATGGGGCAGCAGGGCTGCTGGCTCGGGGAGTCTGTGCTTTTGACGTGAGAAAGGCTTCCTCGTGCTTCAGAAGCTGATTAGCCTGGGTGTCCATTGACAAGCAGTATTTCTCTCAGTGTCATGTTTGACACTTATAAAACTCATCTTCTACTTATAATAGATCTTGTAGATCATTTGTGCAATATTTTGTTAAAATTTACAGGTATTAAGGGTATGGGATCCAAGAACATGTGCAAAACTAATGAAGCTTAAAGGCCACACGGATAATGTGAAAGCATTGCTGTTGAACAGAGATGGCACACAGGTATGCAATGTCACCTGGATATTTACCTAATGACCTTGTCAAAAAGCTCATACAGCGGAAGTTTCCATACTCTGTATGCTGTTGGATAATTGCTTTGAACTCAAAGCTACAGATATTAAAAACTGTGACCTAATTTCAAATACTTATAATAACCCAATTGCGCATTTTAACATTATTCTGTTTGCATCTCTTTAATAATAGCAAAGCAAGAATTCCCTCAGAATAATCCTAATACAGATGATTATATGCAATTCTGACACGTCTCCTAAAATTTTTAAACAGTACTTTGTGTGAAGCAAGGGGAAACTTTGGTATTGAAGTCTTTCTCCAGTGTACCAAATGGAAAATTTTCTCACAGTGGGTCTGACTTCAGACAGATCTTGTCAATTGGCTCACCGGACGCAGTTTATAACTTTAAAAGTCTTAACATACTACTTAGAGTCCACATTTTAAAGAAAAACATTCTGGAAATCTTTGAACATGAATTAATACTCTGCTGGCAATAAGCTTTTTGAGTTATACATCACAATTCTATTTGTAACAATGGAAAAATAATCTTTCATCAGTGTAGCTGATAAGAATCAAGAGAAACTGAGCGTCATTGGATGTTACGACAGACCTCTATCATCTGTCCCGCTCCCTTACCCATTTTTTTTTCAAAGGGCAGAGTTAAGTTCAGAGCAGTCTGTAGTTGATTCTGATGGGGTTAGAACAAGGAGATTAGGAAGCGGATGAGATGAAAAATATCATCACTCTATTACTCCTGTGGAAATTATGGCATGACAGTTATTCATACATGAATGAGAGAAGTCTTTGCTCAGAGGTGGAAGGGAGGTTTGAAAAACTAGCCAAAGGAAGTTGGCTCATATTTCAGACCCCAAGAGTTGGAGATGCCTATGGAGGTCTCTGAAGATGTGGAAGGACCTCACCATTAATGCAGCCTTGAGGAAAGAACTTCACATTACTAGTCCTTGGTTTGCTCGTCTGCAAAGTGGGATACAGATTTAGTTTGTCTCATTGATGAGAGCATGAGAAATAATAAGTATATTCTGGTTTGTAAATGATGACATTTTCTAGAGCTCTTGAATGTCTTTGCTACACCATTTTCATGTGAGTCTAAGAAAACCAGTACATTTGGCGCCTCACAGTTTTCCAGCACTGCTGGCAGGCTACACGGCAGGTGGCTGCCCACCTTGTTCTGCTAACTTGGTCTGGGATTGCGCTGTGTGGGACTGCCATGATTAGGCCTGTGGACATGATGGTTTCCAGGAGGGAGAAAGGAGGTCACAAAGCCTGCCTTTCTGCTACACTATGCCTTGTTCCCTGTCTTTACAGTTCTGATGTGCTTTTACGTAAGGTGATTTAAATATCACGTGTGTAATAACAGGTGCATTTCACCTGAAGTCAGCCACAATAACTATAAGCAGAGACAACTATGTGGCACTACTTTAAAAGCTGCCTGTCAGCCTTAGAGTACATAATTAAGCAGATGTCTTTCCTCCTCTAGCTTCTCCTCCATCCATTTTTCTCATTCATACCTATAGACAAATTTAACCCCCAACAATATAGAATGTTTTCATTAGGAAATTAATCAACAGAACAATTATATTCCTCATTTGGGGAGAAGACTGGAGGAAAAATGTATTTATGGATTCTCAAATGAAAATAAAATGGAGGAGACAGTTGTCAGTTACTATACCAGAGTATACATTGCATTCTGCTGAGTTGCTCTGCAATCCTTTAATGTGGGATTTCTGGTGGCATTGTAAGTCAGGGACTTGTGGTAAGATATGTATAACAGGCCAATTAATCACATGAACACAAACCAGTTTCCGCATTTCCTTTGGATTTAAGGTCTGTTATGACTGCATTTGTTTTGATTGGTACCTACATTGCTGGGCATAACCACCTGACACTTCTCGTTCCTTGTGCCTGGCTCAGGCAATTGCTTGTGGATCTGGGACAACCTGCTGTCTTAATATGAGTCATTCACATCCTATGTGTCACTACACAGTTTTCCTAGTAATACAAGTCTTGTTGAAACTAGCTTTGGGTCTGCAGTGTCAGAGTGTTATGCCATCCTTGCCCCTGACTTACCTTGCCTAAGAGTGTATGAGTGAAAATCCCAAAAAATACTTGTTTAGGTCAACAGCAGCCTGGCCTCAGTATTCTGGTGTCTGTCATCTCCACTGGCAAAAGCACAGATTGCTTGGTCAGAGCTATAGAATCTGTGTCTCCTAAATTTAGTCTAGTGGAACCATTGGGGCATCTGTCCGAGTCTCAGCAGTATCCTAATGAGGGCATCTTCGTGTTTATCCAGTAGAAGGGTGGAGGAAGGGGGGAAAGGTTGTGGTGACTTCTGTAACTTCTAAATGACGCGAGATACTAGAGTGCCTATAAAACGGGAAATTCTTTAACCAGACTATAAAATGTTGCCTACAGTTTTGCCAATACTACTTTAAAAGTGATTCCTCTGTGGTTGAGTGCCTAGCTTTTAGCAGCTTTAGAATACTGACGGTATCAAAGGTGATTTTGTGTTCTGTACCAGGATTGATAAAACTGTGTTCTCATCTGCTTTCAACAACTCACGTGGGTTTAGGACTGATCTCTTTACTGCTGCAAGTTGCCAAGGTTGTAAGGACTTCTAACCCCTAATGCCTTCCTTATCTTTAGGTTGTCAAACCTTATTACCTTAGAAACATGGTCTAAGATCTGAGTGGTCAAAGCTTTAGTTAAACTTCTGCTATCTCAGAGTAGCATCTCTTCCTAGAATGGGGAACCTCCCTTGGTCTCTCCCTGTCTGGCTGCCATAGCTCTCCCACACACATTGAAGGTTTTCTTGCAACCTTAGTCCTGACAGTTTTGCTATTGGTTAGTCTCTTGGTTCCCTTGTGAATTGCCTGGAATCAGTTATTAAACCACTGCTGTTCCTGGCAGCTTGTGGAAGAGTCTGCTAGAAGGTGTTCATTTAGTTGATATGTCTAAAGTTCTAAATGTCCGTCCCTTCAGGTCACAAGACATGCCAGTAACTCCTTGATTCCCCAATGGCCTCAGTTATACATATGCTTTCCCAAATCTCCAAAATCACAACCATCTTCCATTCTTTGTAGCTCTTGGCCTATTTAATTTCATATACAGCAGTTGCTGTCTCTGATGGACCAATTTTTTCGAAAGAAATGAAATCACCACAGTAACTGGTAGAGAACACCAGGCATGCTGAATGCAATTGAACAGGAGCTGATTTAGCCTCTTCTTGTCAGACTCACAGAGTGCACAGCCCTAATTTATGTGCCAGCTGCTTCTATGTAGTTGTTGCTCTGAGCCTTCAGAAATTGCTAGAATGGCTAATGTTAATACTGAATACTGAGATTCCATTGATATATTTATATTAATATAACATTTTATATTAATGGATATTGAACTTGAGGCTCCTTTGGGAAGTGTCCAAAGTCACAGTGAGTGATAAGACTGGGATTAAGTTTTACTTCTAACTCTTGTCAGTATAATCCTAGAGACTTGGCAGGCCATCAGGAGTTCTGAGTCACAAGAAAGGGACATGGCAAAAGTGTGACCCAGGGATCCAAAATTCTTGCTGACCTAACGCAAACTCAGTGAACCAGAATCACCTGCAGATTCTGTTGGAACACAAATTGCTAAATTTGTGCCTCATTAGATGTGGAAGGGGTCTGGAATTTACATTTTTAATAAGTTTTCAGGGAATGCCAATGCTGCTGGAAGCCACACTTTGAGAACCACAGCCCTGTGCAGTCTGCTGTTGGCTTCAGTCTCTCAGACACCTTTCAACTCTCTTAATAGGAGATAATCTGAACAGGACTTGCCTGAAGGATTTACTAATAATCACAACTGGCCTGGTCAAGAGCACAACAGCAGTTTCACTCATGTTTCCCCAGCTTGAGTATGTGCTGTTGCCTCAGTCACTTTAGCCTGTGACGTGTGCTTGTCAGAAATCTCTTGTCAGAGCGACAAAAGCAGTTTTAGAGGTGTGCTTGATAGTGTAGAGTCAAGAGGGAAGCCTGATGCGAAGCACAGGCAAGCAGGAACTTTTGGGCCGATTTCTAACCTTTACTTTGTTTGTTCTCAGTGCCTTTCTGGCAGTTCTGATGGCACAATTCGCCTTTGGTCCCTTGGTCAGCAGAGGTGTATAGCAACGTATCGGGTCCATGATGAAGGAGTTTGGGCTCTGCAAGTCAATGACACCTTCACACATGTGTATTCTGGAGGAAGGGATAGGAAAATTTATTGTACAGACCTAAGAAACCCAGACATCCGAGTGCTAATTTGTGAAGAAAAAGCACCAGTTCTCAAGGTATGTCATATATTTAGTTTTATAATTAAGATTATTATATGTGTTATCTAATCTTTATTAAAGCAGCTGTGGGGTCTTAAATGAGCTATTTTAACATTTTTGTTAGTCTTCTGTAGAATAAATGTGAGTTGGGTTTATCAGCGGCATACATAGTTCATTGGTTGGCAAGCCCTAGTGAGATTGTTTGGTTCTGCTCCTGAGCTTGCCTGGCTCCTGACTTGTCATTAGAGAAGGAATATGAACAGTGATTCCACTTGCATAATACCCATGCATATATGTATGTTTTTATATGTACAATGCTTTAAAAATAAAGGATGCACAGTAAACTCTTCAGAGGTGTACAGTCCCTAGGAAAAGAATTAGAATGTAGGGGTACTTTTCATTTTTGCTATTTTGTTAGTTTTTTTTTTTTTTAAGATTTATTTACTTATGCATACAGAACTGGGGTACAGTCCAGAGGTATAGGGGTGGTGAGAGGATTCACCAGAGACAGAGTGGGAAGCAGAACAGGCAGATCTATGACGTACACGGCTGAGGGGAGCAGCAGGCAGGTAAGGAGAGGTGACCCACGCCATGTGGGTCACCTCGGGGGCTGGGACTAAACTCATGCGGAAGTGGCTTTAGCTTCTTAGTGCTGTGTTTTAACCCGCTGCGCCACCAGGGAGGGCCTTATTAGAGTATATTTTACTAAAAGCATGTTCAAAAAAAAACATGTTCAAATTAAAAATAATTTCATTATTAAGGAAGAACAACTGGAGTAGCAGAAACAAAGTTATGCTAAGTTATCCTTTTGAATCCATTTAGGTTCCATAAGTTAACCACACTTAAAACTCTAAGTCACTGTTTTTGGGCTGTGACTCCTTTACCAAAGACACTCTCATTGTGTACATCTCTAGCTGTTAACACATGTTCTGATATATCGTCAACACTCGGCACACAAATGTTGCAGGAAACAATTGATACTTAATGATGTTAACTAGTCCTGGCAGTTCAGAAGAGCTGCCATTTCATCAAGCATTCTTGTGCTTTGTTTTCAGATGGAACTTGACAGATCAGCTGATCCCCCTCCTGCAATCTGGGTTGCAACAACTAAGTCTACAGTAAATAAATGGGTAAGTGAACCACTGTGTGTGTACTTGGCAAAGATTTATAAATATGTGGTTGTTAACACAGACCTGCCAGATAGTTGTACCAAAGACTCGGTGTAATCCTGATTCTCAGCATCCTTTCAGACAGTGGCAAAAATCTGAAAACCCTGATGAATGCAAGTGTGTTTATTCCTGAGGATTTAGGTAATACTACTTAAGTATTGCCCAATAAAACTAGTAAATATTGTGTATTTTCTTACCTTGTGAAACTGCTTTTGAAAATAAACAGCCCAGTACCAGCACAGCAAGGAAACTTGTCGGGGCTCCTCTTTCTGCATAGTATAAGATCCAGGCTAGTTAATAGAGGATGGGATGAGAAAAGTCGCCAAAGTACTGCTAATTCTTAAATCTTAATAAAAGTTTTCATGCTTACCAGACTATGGATAACGAAAAAGAAAGTGTTTGCATTTATTCCTGTTCTTTCTCACGCACTTGTGTAAAATGTCACAATCTTATCTAAATTTCTTTGTGCCAGTTTGAGATCCTCTTAGCTTTACCTGGAATAGTGCCTAGCTTCTCGCCAAAAGGACTAGATTCTGTTCTTTGTCTTAACATTTGTTTGTTTGAATCATGATATATAAATATACTTGGGACTAAGTATTTTTGGGTTAGCATTGTTGTTTGCTTTTTCTCATTTGTTCTTTATTTGCCTTGCCACTTTGAACAGATTAGCAAAGCCTATAAAGCATGAAGTGATTAAGTAATTTTGTTCCTTTAGACACTGAAGGGAATTCATAATTTCAGAGCTTCCGGAGATTATGACAATGACTGTACAAATCCTATAACACCCCTGTGTACACAACCTGACCAGGTTATTAAAGGTGAGTAAGTAAATTAGAAGGTATTGTACCTTGATTAAGGTTAGTTATAGTTACTAAGAGATCTATGAAAATAAAGAAGATGGCCTTTTACATGTAATTCTTATATTACAAAAGATTAATAGTATATTAGTTTATTCTTAATAGAGGAAAATCTTTTTTTAAGTGCTGTTTAGTGACTTTAAACTCTCTTGAGTTCATCTTTTTTGATCAGCAACGAAATAGTCATGGCCTTGGTAAAATCAGTAGCCACTGTGTAAATGGGGTTAATACTGCCTCATGGCACCAGCTGGAAAGGGCGGGTCTGCTTGTTGAAAGCTACACGTGACAACTGGAATGGCAACTTTGGTTGAATGTCGGAGTCTGGGGTTTAGATATTGAATGTTACATTCACTTGCAGTTCATCACCTGCAGTTCATATAGGTGTCTGCTGTTGCCTCACCATTAAAATAGACTATCCAATCACAGCCATTGAAACAAGATAAAAAACAAAAGTTGATGGGAAACAGGACCAGTTCAAAGGTTTTTCCTCTATCATTTGGGATTTGACCAGTGGATGAAACTGTTTGTTTTCCCCCTAACAGTCTTTCCCTAGTATCCCCTTGAAGTGAGGAGTCTTAAAATCTATAATCTATTATTAAAATCAGCTTTTCTTTGATTCGCCTGAAATTGCCTTAAATATAATTACGTGGTCTTCTGGTTAGCCTCCTGGCGACTAGTACCATTTGTGTTCCGTTACACACATGCTAGTTAACAATTGTTGCCATGCTGTGAATTTAAAGAATTGTTTTACTAATTTTTTTTCTTTCCTTTAGGGGGTGCTAGTATTATTCAGTGCCACATTCTTAATGATAAGAGACATATATTAACCAAAGATACCAATAATAATGTGGCATATTGGGATGTATTGAAGGTGAGTACCATTTTTGTATTAAATGTAGGTTATCAGATTATGTATTTTCTTTTTTAAATCAGTATGTATGATAACCAAGATAATAAATATATAAATTAAAATGTAATTGTAGTAATACCTTATTTATAATAATAGCTTATAATTTCTTAGTGAATATTAGATAAGGCCATACTTTACCTTTTCATTCATCTAAAATTTGCATGGAACCATTTTCTCTGCCTGGTATATTACAAACTGTGTTTTATCCCGCCTTATCCTAGACATTTGATATTTGGTTCACATAAATTTTGGGGAGGCTACGGGTGGGTGTTGTCCTGTATAATGTCCAACAGCATTTCTTAGCACCTGCCCAAGAGGTGCCCACCTCCCCACCGAACCCACCCTTCACTTGTGGCCATCACAGTTACCTCCAGACAGTGCCAAATGTCCGGTGCGAGAAGAAAGGTGTAAAGTCATCCACATTGGAGTGTACAAAATAAGTTTGCTTCTTGGTATTTACAGCCATCATGAGCATCATTCACAACTCTACGTCATTGTGATGCCCTCCTCTGGAATGGTTAAGGTGTATGAAGCTGTTCAACTGCTTTCTTAACTGCATGGAATTAAGGCCCATTGAAAAATTAGCCTGCGATTAGAGTTCTGACAAATGTCCTTTAGTATTGTTGATATATTTGTTCAACAGATATTTCCTAGGTTGAATGAGTATTGTATGCAAAGAATTGTTTGGAGAAAAGTGCATACGGTAACCACTTATGGTAGGAGAGATGAATGGGGGAAATGTTAAAAGAGAAAAACTACACATCACAGGGTAGTTTATGAACAAGGGCAGTTTATGTATACAACTGGAGAAATAGCAGAGCTTGGTGGTGGTGAAATTGTTTAAATTGGGGCTTAAAGGATCCCATAAATAATGGATCAGGTAAATAATGGAAGGGAATTTTAGGAAGGAGGGAGTGAGTGACAAGACACGGAAGAGAGAAAGGTATATACTTACTCAGAGCAAGGTGAATAGTTTTGTTTAGTTGGAGCTAAAGTGAATATTAGGGAAGAGTAGGAGTATAAAATGAAAGATGAGTTGCAAGTCATTTCCCAGAGTCTCAAATTGCAGGCCCTGGGGTTGACCTTCCTTTGGTACTTCCTAGAGAATCTCAATCTTAAATGGTTTGAAAGCATGAAAAGCCCATATTAAAAGCAGTATTAGTCTGTGTATTGGGAAAGAATCTGGAAGACCGTTGTCTTAAAATGATTGGTAATTTAACGGAAGAAACAGATATTGGGTGCAGTATAAAGGAAAATGAAAAGACCTGGGATTTGGTTAAGCTCTTAGTTATAAGAAATAAGGATTCACTTGCATTAACTTCTGGATTTAAAGAATAAGATAAATCCATTTCTTTCTGGGAAAGGACACTATCTCAATAGAATGTTGACCTGGCCTGCACTTTCCCTTCTGTGGAAAGTCATGCTGCGAGACGACTTGACGAATGTGACATCTGAACATGAGACCGAACAAAGTCCATGTGGTTTTCCTCTGCGACAGAGACATGCTTTGTTATATTACAAACTATGTTTCATCTTGCCTTATCCTAGACACTGTTGACACTAATAAATCCCTGTGGATTTACTCCTGAAATGTGGTAGCACTATTTCTTGGTGATGTTAAAGGACTGTTTGAGAAGTATTTATCATAGTGACTGGCACCTGATGCCTAGGAAGCTTTAATTAATTCAGGTGAATTGTCATCATCAGGTGTTTATCTGCACTAGGATGGGAACAAAGGGATAGAAAAAAAAGTAGAACAACATTTCAGCCTGTGACTAAGGGCTTAATTAGAGATGAGAGTGAGTATAAGGGCATAATGACACTATTCCTTGAAAATTGGTGGTAAAAAGGGAATATAAAGGGAAAGAATGAGCAGAGATGAACCCCAGGTTTCTGGATTAGATTGGTGAGTGGAAATAATACAGGGGATTATAGAAGGCAGATGGATTCTTGGGAAAAGGGCTATGCTGAGAAAGACAACGAATTTTGAGTTTTTGTGGGATACCTAGATAAGAGGTGTCTGCTAAGCAGACAGTTGTACAATCCAGTGCATACATGGAAGAACTTGAAATGGATTATAATTGAGATAAGTTTTCAAGTAATGCATCTACACTGAACAGAGGAAAAAAATTAAATCATCATCCTTTCAGGGATTATTAGAAAAAGAGGAAACTATAAGAGGTATAATTAAAGCAGTAAGAAAACCAAGAGCCAGTAGCAGCTCCAAAACTAATTGAGCTTTTCAGAAGGAACCTTGTGGCTCGCTAGCATCATGGACCTGCTGAAAGTTCGTGTAAGCTATAAAATGTGGTCTGTACCTGAATTTGCCAATAAAGAGTATCATGTCTGGGGGAGAACGGTCTTTGGGGAGTCCTAAAGGCAAAAGCCAGATGGAATGCGGTCAGTAGTAATTGGGAAGTGAAGAAACAGAATATGAGTGGAGACCATCTATGATGAAGTTGAGCTTTGGTGAGTAGGCAAGACGAGACAGTAACTGGAGAGGATTTAAGGGCAAGATGGTTAAGGGAAGGTTTTGTTTTGGTGTTTGGTACTTTTGAGATGGAAAAAAATTGAACATGGATTCCTGCTCATAGGGAGAAGGCAGCAGAGATGTGAGCAGGTAGATGATTGATAACGCAGGGGCCCCAAGAAGCAGGTGTACCGTTTTCCTTGTACCAGGAAGAATGGTAACACAAAGCTAAGGGGATTTTGCCAAAGGTTTTTTTTTTGAAGAATAGAGATCAAAGTCTTGTGCTGAATATGGTAGGGAAGTAACAAAGTCAAAGATAAGAGAACAAAAGGTGTTTATGGAGTATTGAGTTTGGAAACAGAAGAAACTCCAGATAGCATTAATAATGATCCAGTGGAGGATGGAGACTGTACATTTTTAATAGGAATATTGTCAAAGATTGGAGAAACCCTCATGTCCGTGTGGGTGTTGATACCGTGTAGAATGAGAGCATGAACTCAAGGTGCTCTGCAAGACTTTGAGCCAGAGTTCCAGTCCCCAGTGAATAAGGAAGAGTGACCATTTACTACATTCCAGTGAAGAAAGGGGTAGTTTCCTGAACCTAAATGACACGGGCCTCAAAGTAGTAGTTTTTATATGGCAATGATAGATAATGGTCTCTGTTTGACTCTAGGAGCTGTGGGATGTGGGAAAATGATGGTGAAATGGGACCCTCAGAAAAGAGCCAGGTTGCTCTTGGGGTGAGAAGGTCTGAGCATTCAGGGTGAGGATGAGCTGTTTCATGAAATGGTACATGGCATGTTAGCTCAGGACACACTTTTAGAGAGCATGCATAGTTAAGAAATAATAGGAAAAATAAGAATTTTAATGGTCAAGAAAGACAGAACCACTGCTATATTTTAAGTGGTCTAAGGGTAGCTAGCTTTAAGCCCTCTTAACTGTTGTTTGTTCTTTTGAAGATATTTTTTGCTTCCATTGACATTGCTTTTGAGTAAGTGTGGTGTTGTATTTTACCAATATCAGTAAAATTAAATTATAATTTCCCAGCAAAAGGATATTTTGTGTTTTTTAACTTAAAATTTTAACAGCAGATAGTTATTTAAAGATAAGTGCTTTAAGAGAAACAGAGTGACTACATCTTTTTGAAATATTGTTTAGACTCCATTTGATTTAGACAAATGTGAAAACATAAAATTTTAAAAAGCCAAATCAAATTCAGATTAATTCAACACTTAAGTTGGCTAATTATACTTTCTTTTTAATAAATAGGCATGTAAAGTTGAAGATCTGGGCAAAGTGGATTTTGAAGATGAAATTAAGAAAAGGTTTAAGATGGTGTATGTGCCAAATTGGTTCTCAGTAGACCTAAAAACAGGGGTGAGTTAGCAATTGATATTTTGTGCAATTTGGTATTGTTGTAAATTTCTAGTAGAGCCCCAAATGAAGTACTATTTACTACAGTGTCCTGTAATAAAGATTTTTTTTTAATCTTTTTTTTTTTTTTCAAAGATTTAGTTTATTTATGCCTACAAGATCTGGGATATAGGCTAGAGGTATTGGGGGGGGGGGATCATTCCACCAGAGACAGAGTGGGAAGCAGAACAGAAATAAACTGCTTAAGTATTTCTGGGTGCAGTGGGCAAGACAGGAGAGGTCTCCCGTGCCATATGGGTTAACTCTTGGCCAGGGATCAAACTCTTGCTGCAATGGCTGCCATAGCTTGATAGTGCTGAGACCTAACCCTGTGTGCCACTAGAGAGACCTGAGAGTTCTGTTTTTAAATGTAAAAAGGAGAAAATTAAACTTGGAAGGTGCTTTTTGGTATCCCAGTAAATCAAATGGTATTGCTGTTGAGTCTCTCAAAGCAGCTAATGGTTCTGAGACTGTGGCTTAGCACTTCAGTCACAATAAAAGAATTGAGAGACTTGGAATATGATATTCAGTGAAATGCCACCAACAGTTTTTTCCTTTTGACAGATGTTGACTATTACTTTGGATGAGAGTGACTGTTTTGCTGCTTGGGTTTCTGCAAAAGATGCGGGCTTCAGCAGCCCTGATGGATCAGATCCAAAATGTGAGTTTGAGAGTCTTTCCTGGCCCACATTCTGAAAGAGGTGGATTCATGCTGCTGTTTGCTGTGTACTCATCTGTATACAGCCTGCTACTGTTGATTATATCTTTGGACAGTATTTTCATAAGAATATGGACATACAATAGAATTCTAGTAACTTTATGTTACTAGAAATAACCTTTAGAGAATGTAATTCGTGACTTTGTTTATTCATTTTTCATAAAAGGCTATATCTGAACAACCAAATAGAGTATGTTTGCTCTATGCTTTAAACTCCTTTAAATATTCTCAGATAAAATTTTATGAACTTGACAAAATCTTGCTTTTAAAACATTGGCATTGGATTAAAACCTTAATGCTAGAACATGTGGAAACATCATTTTTATTTCTTTCTCTGTTTCTAGTTTTAAACTAACAGCTCTCTTTTCCATTTCTTTTCATTTTAATTAACTCTTGCAGTAAACTTGGGAGGACTTTTACTTCAGGCACTTCTGGAATATTGGCCTAGGACACATGTGAATCCAATGGATGAAGAAGAAAATGAAGTGAACCATGGTTTGTGCTGTTTTTATGTGATTGGTCAAAAATTACTCAGAAGTTAAAGATAGATTTTTTTTTTTGTTTTAAGAAACATGCTAAACATTTGCTAAATTTGATATATTTTCTGTGTGCCCAATTTATTACCCTCCCTTCTACAGCCCAAATTAAGAACATTGTCCACTGTCAGTTGAGATTCTAAGAGAGCTTTTGTTCAAGCTAGATGGACTAAACCACCCCCTCACCCCCAACATGGTTTACTACTCATAGGGAGAAGGCAGCAGAGATGTGTAAGCTATAAAATGTGGTCTGTACCTGAATTTGCCAATAAAGAGTATCGTGTCTGTCTTCCAAAGATAATTCTCAGATAATCCATGGACATAGACTTGGGGATTTCTGTCTAGAACTGCAGCAGAAAGCCAAGTTCATAGTTCATGTTTTCCTGAAGTGTTTTTACTGTCTGGTCTGGTGATCTACCTGGTGTTGAGTCTGATCTGAATGTTTCAAAACTCAAGTTCCAACTCAGTAGTGTGGGTATGTAATGAGTATGTGTTAAGAATGAATGTCATTGACGACATTCAGAAGATGTATGTGCTGCAGGCAGTGGCACTGACTTTCACTGGACAGGAGAATATATTTTGAATGGTTGGTTAAAGAAAGGAGAGAAAAAAGAACTTAAAATTTCATAACTTATATGTATCCCATGCTAGCTAATAAATCTTTGCATTCCATCTACTGAGGGCTTAGCTGAGGTACATAATTTGAATTCTCTGGAGATTGTGCTGAAGACTACCCACTTTGGTGGTCAGCAATAATGTGGACCTCCTACAGTTAACTTCATTCTAGTTGACTGATTTGTCCATAATGATTTTTTGGAGTTTAAATTTCTTTTGTAAGGCTGATACACTTTCCTGAAAGGCAGTTCTGATGTCCCTGTCAAAGAAATGACACAAACCCAACCCGTCGTGTTTTTTTGTTGTTGTTGTTCACCTGGCCCATTTCATTCTCTATCAGAAGTGTACCATGAACTATGAGCCAGAGAAGCTCAATGTAAAGATCTCTACACAGAGGGTTGAGAAAGCTAGGTCCTGCTGTGGACTTTTCTACTTAACAGTGACTAGCTATGGACACTGCTGTTTTGGGCTTGTTCTCCCTTTATGATCTCTATGACAGCAAGAAAGGATGCCCTCAGAGGCCCCAAGTAAATGATAAACATTAAGTAATCGAAAAACAATGGTACGCTCGGCACCCTTTGAGTCCAGGCTCTGATTGTGGGAGTAAGAAAGAAGTTAGAAGAAACCCCCACATCGTCCCGGAAATCAACTGCCATAGTAAAGAAAAAGGGACAAGGTCTGGCCACCTCCTGAAGCAGAGCTCAGAACATTGCATGCTTCAGCTGTCTGGTAATCTGCTGCACTTAGACCATCGCCAGGGGAGTTGCTTAGATTATACTTGAGGAGCAGCTCAAGTGTTCAGAGGCCTGTTGTGATTTGCAGGACGGAAGTAGTAAAGATAAATGGGCATGGGCCCCATCCTTCAGGCACTAAAATTCCAATGAAGCAAAGAGTTGACTTAAAGCATTATGAGGTCAGGAAGATGTATTGGACACTGAGGGACATTTTGAAACTGCATGGGCCTCAGAAGCTGAAATTGCCTCCACTTTCATTAGAGAAGAGTTTATGAACAAGTTGGCACTTAGGTTAAAAGATTACAGAGAAAGTGGAATAAATGCAGTTTGCAAAGAACAATGAAAATGAGATTATGGTCTCTGAGGATTTTAGTTTCCATTGATACTTCTGTCATTAGTTATAACTCCCATAAACAGTTTTTTAAAATTTTTTTCTATTTTCTGACATCATCTTAGTTGATGTCCCACAAAAAAAGATTATCATTTATAAACAGGTTGTCCTAGACCCCTGTGACTGCAATAGATAGGTTTGCTTTATTTTACAAATCTCAAACATTAATCTCTTTTAATCCTTTAAAATGTAGTAATTTCTCATAAAGAATATCACAAGTTGCTGTATTTCTTAGTTTCCAATTTTTAAGTTGGTTTCTTTTTTTAATTTTTATTTCTAACTGGCTAACTTATAGGGTTTTTTACTTTAGTGATACAGTATTTGAAACCTACAGTATGGAAACAAAATACTTAGAATCTGTTTTTAGCATTAACTCTGGATACTGACACCATCTGCATTTTTTCCCTAGTAAATGGGGAGCAGGAGAACCGAGTACAGAAGGGAAATGGATATTTTCAAGTACCCCCCCATACCCCAGTCATCTTTGGTGAAGCTGGAGGTCGCACACTCTTCAGGTATGAATAAGGAGGGCTGGGAGCCTTACCTAAGAAAGCATCTCATTTGCTAAGAAATACTGATTCAAACCAGGTGTTCTAAATTGTTTACTATTGACTTAAAGAGGTATCAGGGATTTGGAAGCTTTTTCTATCTCCATGAGATAGTTAAAATGTCTGATAATGCTGTTAGATCATATTCTAATTACCAGCTGAGCCTCTCTGTTAGAATGAGGTTGATACTTTGCCTTAAGGCAGAAGCTTAAGTGGTTTTTGTAAGAAACTACTTTCTCTCACTTAACCCAGCATGATTGCCAGAATCAGGGGTAGATGGCACCACTGAAGTCCCTACCCACAAGACAGCACCAGTGTAGCTAACTTCCTTTAGATGCACCTCGCAAGATGGTTTGGGCAGCTCCTGGGGACCATGGTGCCTATAATGGCCCAATGTAATGTGCTTGGCAGTCCTTTTTGAGGTTCTGAAGGGAAATAAATACTGGCCTGACTTCACCTCCAAGTTGCCAGCAGGGCTTGGTAAAGCCAGAGGAGAGAGCTCACTAGTCTTCTGGAGGGCCAGAAGAAAGGAAAATGCTTGTCTTGCCCTTGAACCCAGAATTCTTTTCCTTTTTTGTAGTTCCCTGAGCATATGACTACTGAAAACATCCTAATCCCTGTTACATGCAGAAACCTGTGTCATGTACTGTAACACTTATAGGTGACCTTTCTTGAATTCTTTATCTACACCCAGGTTTCTTGTTATCCCCCAGGACTCAGAGGCTGAAGTGTGTGTCGGGTCTCAGAATCTGAGACCTTCTTAGCTGAGTGAGTCCTTCTGTCCGACTGCACTTTAGTTCCCCAGCTATCAAGTGGTGGTTATCCTAAAGGCCCTCTAATGTTGTTGACAATGATTTTATCTCTTCTGCTTGTTGTGTCACTTACTACCTGATTGGTTGCCTTTAGGCTGCTCTGCAGAGATTCTGGAGGTGAGACTGAGTCAATGCTTCTTAATGAGACGGTGCCACAATGGGTAATTGACATCACTGTGGATGTAAGTATCCCTCACTCCCACTTTACTCTCTCATTTTTTCTAAATCATTAAGAACTGCTTTAGTTTGTATAATCTTAATCTTAAATAAAAACTAGACTGCCAAATGGAGTCATCTTTCTGTTTCCCTTCAGTTCCAAAGTTGCAGAAGTATTGATGATTGTTTTATATTTCTTTATATTTTATTGTTTTTTAAGTGTAAGAATAATATATGCTTATTAAAGGAAATAAAAATAAAGTAAAATTCCCATCCCTTCCCCAATCACTCCTTTTCCATTCACTTCCTTTCCTTCTCCCCAGAAAAAGTAACTAATGGTTTAATTCATGTTCTTCAGTACTGTTTTTTGTGCATACACAAGCATATATTATTTGTGTGTGTATATGTATATAAACATATATTTGTGTCTGTAATTCATTTAATTTGCACAAAATCTATTACAATACTGTTCTGCAACTTGGTTGTGTTTTTGTCTTTTTTTTTTTTTTTTTTTTTAAAACGGCATACGAGATGTCGAGCAGTGACTGGAGTTCAGACGTGTGCTCTTCCGATCTT